ATCTTTGGGCTTTCTTTCTCCCTGAGGCTGAACCACAGTAATGAAAAACAAACAAACAATCTAATGCAGTAAAATGACTTTTTGAAGCGTGTTTGGTCCACCTTGTAGATGACTGAAGGGAAGGATCGAGACTGTGTTGACTGACGTTGTTCGCATGCGTGGAACTAGAACGATCAGCATCGATTCAGGCATTTGATCCAGCGCCGGACATCGGAATGTGTGACGGAGTCTGCTCAGAGGGTCTGCTTTACTTCAAGACTTCTTCTTTGAACTAGTTTGGATGAAAAGTCTGTGGTTGGGGATGAGTGCCAACGACATTCCTGACTGAAAACAAGTGGAGCGGAAGATAACAGGAAGGCAGAAGGATCAAAACCACAAGGAGAGCGAGTGAGAGGAATGATGAGAAGATGAGAGAAGTTGTGAGACAGGGACGCTGCTGACGATCAAGTCCTCGAGGTGATTCGTCTGTAATTACTCACGTCATCCGCCGACTGCGCTCTGATAAGCAGCGTGCCCTGAGAGGCCGCTGCTCACAAATGATTTCTCATAATGTGTGGCAACGGCGCCGAACCCTTCGGTCTCCGTCACAAACGAACGCTCGTCCACGTCGATGGAGACGCCGCAGCTATCAGCCCGCTGAGACACAACATGCTCCGGTCAGAACAAATTAAGAGCTTAGGCTGCCCAGGACGTTCACTTGGGATCTAGCGAATGGACTGATGGGTGTGTGTGTGTGTGTGTGTGTGTGTGTTTGATCCAGATATACTGTTATCTGTCTGGGAGGCAGCCTGATTTCTTTGCAGTGTCCAGGGGGCTTAACCCATCACTAAAGACTGTTAAAGATTACATTCTCACAATCTTTGAAAGCATTCTTCAGCAACAAACCAACACCCCAGACACCAGCTCTGCATGCAGAATAGAATTAATGGGTGGGTACAAAGTGAAGTGCATTCTTCACAGCGACAGGGGACACAGCGCTGCTGTCTGTGCCAGGAACTTTGCTTGCAGCTACAGTATTGTAAATCTTGACTCTTGTCCCCGTTCTCTCTCTCGTTTGTACCCACTTAGTTCTGTTCAGTTGCAGGAGCTGGTCTCCAACCCAGTGTGAGCTAGTCAAAGGGTCAAAGGTGGTGTAGACTCTGAACAGGTCCCCAGTCCATCAGCGCACCAGTTCAGAGTGGATGTTCTATTTTTTTATTTAAATTTGAGGATGTTGAGAGAAAAACCTGCAAACTCCACATAGAATGTCTGTGTGAGAACCCTGTCTGTGTGGCCTAGACAACTGGGACAACCGTGTTAGATTTGACTCTGCAGGTTGGTCTAGCCATGATCCTAGCAGCCTCAGGAGGTCTACCAGTTGGTCAGGTTCAGCCAGGCGCAGTGCTCTATGTTTTTAGAGATAAACTGGGCGGTCCTAGCACCAGAGCTGCGTTGGAGTCAAACTACAAAGATGAAAGGAAAAACGTTGGCTCAAGAACAGCGATTGTTGGAAATGGCTTTGGCATTAAATTTAGATGATTTAGACTTTAGCCTTTCTTTGAGACGTGAGCAGATAGGGAGTCCAAGTCTCCTCCCCTTCCGGTTGGCTCACGGGTCCTGGAAGAACGAAAAAAACGAATGCAAGTCAACGGGGCTAAAACGCTATTTTCTAATCCGCTTTGCCTTACGCCCTGGATCACACATATGATGTACTGCAACTTAAATGAAAACGAATGATGTTGTTTCGACCATGTCAGTCACGTACTTTGAGATTTATCAGCTTGTAAAAGGTCGTAATTAGCATGTGTCACACTCTGTCCTGTCTCCCCGTTCTGTTCAGTCATGTGTCCCTGTTAACTGCTTCCACCTGCCTCTCGTCACCCAATCACCCGAGCTCCCAGCTCCTCATGTATTTAAACCCTCTCAGTTCTGTGCATCTTGTTGGTTCATCGTTTCTATGTCCTGCGTGTTCTGTCTTATTAAGGACTCTTTAGATTTCCAGTTTGCCTTCCTGCCTGCTTCTTCCCCTGCATGTGGATCCACACCTCCGGCTCAACTCACCTGCACGTCGTGACAGAATGAACCGACCAAACGAAGGATCCAGTGGGGAAGTTCTACCCTGGAAGTACCTGCTCCGATGCCTCACCCCGAGCCACCAGCCGACTTCTCCTCCTCCAACGCCGCCGACATCGAGCCTTGGCGATGCTCTCCACCCTCCCGGAGCCATATGGGAGGATGGATTGGGAGACGCAGCTGGACAGATCCTGCTATGTGGGCACCAGGCTGGCTGTGTGCTCCCCCGGCGTTGTTCTATGGCGCCAGGAAGGAACCCGGGCTCCACCAACACCTCCAGCCCCGGAGAGGCACTGCAGGCTCACCGCCACCCTGGATCGGCGCTCCAGCTTGGACCCGCCCCTAGTCCGGCCAGCGGCCCCGCTTCCGGTCCAGTCAGCACCTCCTTCATCTGCAGGCGCGAGCCTGCAGCCCATCGGATGGAGCTCGCCGGTCTCCAAGCTGAGCTCGTCCGGCTCTGTCAGCTCCATAGCCTCCAGGAGTAACAGCTAGACACTATCCTCCCTGATTTTTCAGGAGATGTCACTATTCCAGTCAGCGGCACCGCCACTAGTCCAGTCAGCGGCACCGCCTCCAGTCCGGTCATCGCCAGGTCCTGCGCCTCCAGTCCGGTCATCGCCAGGTACTGCGCCTCCAGTCCGGTCATCGCCAGGTACTGCGCCTCCAGTCCGGTCATCGCCAGGTCCTGCGCCTCCAGTCCGGTCAACGCCAGGTCCTGTGTCTCCTGTCCGGTCAGTCCAGGAGGCTCCACCCCTGGCCCAGCCTGTCCAAGAGGCTCCGCCACTAGCCCAGCCTGCCCAAGAGGCTCCGCCCCCGGCTCAGCCTGCCCAAGAGGTTCCGCCCCTGGCCCAGCCTGCCCAAGAGGCTCCGCCCCCGGCCCAGCCTGCCCAAGAGGCTCCGCCCCCAGCCCAGCCTGTCCAAGAGGCTCCGGCGCCTCCATTCAAGTTGTCAGCGCCTAGTCCAGCGCCTCCATTCAAGTCGTCAGCGCCTAGTCCCGCATCTCCATTCAAGTCGTCAGCGCCTAGTCCGGCACCTCTAGTCAAGCCGTCAGCGCCACGTCCGACGCCGCCAGCCAAGGAAGCGGCCCCATCTGCAGCGGCTCCGGCGCCTCCCCCTGCAGCGGATCCCCCCCCCCCACTCAAGTCGGCACCTCCCCAAGACAAGTCAGGGGCTCCGCCCCCAGCCCTGTCGTCACCTCCAGCTCTGTCGACGCCTCCAGCCATGTCGACGCCTCCAGCCAAGTCGACGCCTCCAGCCTGTCGACGCCTCCAGCCAAGTCGATGCCTCCAGCCCTGTCGACGCCTCCAGCCAAGTCGACGCCTCCAGCCAAGTCGATGCCTCCCCTCTAGACAGCGTCTCCCCCTAAGTTGACGCCTCCAACCCTGTCAACGCCTCCAGCCAAGTCGATGCCTCCCCTCTAGACGGCGTCTCCCCCTAAGTTGACGCCTCCAACCCTGTCAACGCCTCCAGCCAAGTCGACGCCTCCAGCCAAGTCGACGCCTCCAGCCAAGTCGACGCCTCCAGCCTGTCGACGCCTCCAGCCAAGTCGATGCCTCCAGCCCTGTCGACGCCTCCAGCCAAGTCGATGCCTCCCCTCTAGACAGCGTCTCCCCCTAAGTTGACGCCTCCAACCCTGTCAACGCCTCCAGCCAAGTCGATGCCTCCAGCCCTGTCGACGCCTCCAGCCAAGTCGATGCCTCCAGCCCTGTTGACGCCTCCAGCCAAGTTGACGCTTCCAGCCCTGTCGGTGCCTCCAGCCAAGTTGACGCCTCCGGCCAAGTCGACGCCTCCAGCCCTGTCGACGCCTCCAGCCAAGTCGACGCCTCCAACCCTGTCGATGCCTCCCCTCTAGTCGGCGTCTCCCCCTAAGTCGATGCCTCCAGGTCCGGCGCCTCCCCTCAAGTTGGCGCTTCCACTCCTGTCACCTCCTCCACTCCAATCAACTCCTTTAGTCCAGTGGGCGCCTTCAGCGCCTCCACTCTAGTCGCCGCCTTCTGCCAAGTCAGCGACTCTGCCTCCTGCCGAGTTGGCGACTTCCCCTGCCGAGTCAGCGACTCCCCCTGCAGCGGCTCCACCTCCAGTCACTGCTAGGCCTGCCCTCGCCTGGCACAAGCCTCCCAGAGCCCGTCGCTGTCTCCTCCTGTGCCCCAGATGCAGGCCCCCCAGATTCCAGCCTCGCCTCCTGTGCTCCAGACGCAGGCCCCCTAGACTCCGCCTTGGCCTGCGTTGGGCGTCCAGTGCCGCCCTTTAAAGGGCGTGGGGGGTGGTGGTGGTGGTGGTGGTGGTGGGGGGGGGGGGGGGGGGGCTGTCACACTCTGTCCTGTCTTCCCGTTCTGTTCAGTCATGTGTCCCTGTTAATTGCCTCCACCTGCCTCTCATCACCCAAGCTCCCAGCTCCTCATTTATTTAAACCCTCTCAGTTTTGTGTGTCTTGTCGGTTCATTGTTTCAATGTCCTGCGTGCTCTGTGTTATTAAAGACTCTTTAGATTTCCAGTTTGCCTGCCTGCCTGCTTCTTCCCCTGCATGTGGATCCTCACCTCCGGCTCAACTCACCTGGCATCGTGACAGCATGACTACAAACCAGAAATCGGTACGTCGCATATGTGACGTCACCACATAATTTCCTGCCCTAGCGTAGCTGCTACTTGACCAGATTGATGGTGGTTCTTTCCTCCTCAAGGAAGGATTTGAATTTTGCTGAACCTACAGCCATTTTCCCTTAAAGGTATTGGCCAGACTCGGCATTAAAATAGTAGAAATTCAGTATAACTAAACTTTACCATCTATATAAAAATGAAGTGGGTTCAGTTTTTCATTTTGTTAAGGAATTTTGTCATGAATCATTACAGAAAATCAAAATTCTCTCCTCCAGAGAGTGAAGAACGGTGTTTCGCATACGTCACTCCAGCACGTAAAAAAAGCTAGCTGCTGATGCTAGTTTTGTGAATAACTGTATTTTGTTTACTTTCGTGCTCTTAATTATTACGGAAAATTGCGTTTACAGCTGCAACAAAAGGTCTGAGCCATGTGTCTGTGTCCTACACGCATTTTTAAATAACAGGTCTGATCTAAAATAATAACCTACATCTATAAATCCATCTAGAACCGCACTCTAGACAAGTCCCGTTAGCATGACTGCAGCAACACTGCTAACTGTGTTAGCTCCGGTAAGGAAAGAACAAGTCCTTTGGGAAAGCTACGACACACACAGATACAATCTAAAAGATGATCCCCATGGAGGATCTTTAAAAGCACCCAAATACATACGTACGTTACTCCTACAAGTGCAAACGAATCAAACTAAAGGGTTACTCCAGCATCAGGAAGACTTATTCCAGTGATCTATATTTTCCAGAGTTATATCAATAAATACACACAGCAGTAAAACTGTAGATTACTGAACTATATTGGGACACATGATGGAGCTAAGACCAGCTTAGAGCTCCCAGTGGAGCACAGAAATGAAATATTTAAGAAAAGTAAACAAACTGTACCAATTTTGGTTCTGAAAATGAACAGAATCCTCCTCTATGTCCAAATCGGTTCGCAGGTCTTCTGAGTCAAACTGTCTAAAACATGTATGCACGTCTGGTAGTGATATCCAGCTGGCGGGGTCTGAGTTCGGTTGAACGTCTCCGGTAATCCAATATCCGTTCTCGTCGCCGTATCCCAGAGAAAAAACAAATCTGACTGACTAGCAGAGGCTTCAGAAGCTACATCTGACTGATGACACATTGTTCTCTGCTATAACGCTAACGCAGAAACAGCGGAGTCAGGCGTTGTTTACTACAGCTGTTTCAGCAGAGCTCCATGTGAAACGTCACCAGCTGCCCAGGGCTTAGACCGGAAGTTAGTTTCAGTTTTTCCCGCGCCGGTCACAAACATCAGATTTTCTTACAATTCCAGACGTCAAAATCCAGAAAACCTTTTTCATCTGAGGTTTTAATACACATTTACACATACTGTTCAAACGAATTTTGCCTCTGGCCGATATCTTTTAAGTATTTTATGCTGCAAGGCCATATTTTAAATGACTTTTTGTTTAATGTCTAAGTCAACTTCTGTCCGCCTGGTGCCTAAGGTCATTGGACTGAACTAGTGACATCATCACTGACAGAACAAATGATGCGTTGGAGCTTTACCTTTGCCTTTGAAAACGATAGCTGTGTCATCAGAAGGAATCAGGCCTTCTTTCATCCCAAAGCCCCAGGAAATGCTCATCGGGTCACTAACAGCATATCTAAAGTTCAGATAGAGAATAAATCTTAATGAAGATACACAGCAGAAGTTGAGCTTGCTTTGAACAATAACTGATACGTGAATTCAGTAGTAGATTAATTATAGTTGAGCTTGGAAAAAAGGGCAGATCTGTTTTGCCACCTATAACTCAGTCTCAGTTACAACCAAGTGCATGGTCACCCAATACTGGACCAGTACCAGTCCATTAACAACCACTGACCTGAATATCTTTGAAGGAGGTGAATGAGTGACTCTGAGACGGGCCTGTTGTCATAGCGATGTCTTGATCAGCTCAAGTTACCACATTGTGTTTTATTGTCCCTGTAGCAGCTGCACCTACAGCACAGATCAGAGGCAACATGTGGCCCAGCTGTGACCATCAAGGGTCAGGGTCAGAGGTCAAAGGGTCCTTGTGTTGTTCTATATCAATTAGAGTGAATAGAGAGGGAGGAGTTATACCACCCTGGAGGAGAACACGGGGGTCACTTGCTTACCGTATCTGTTCTTGCAGTCTTACACATTCCCATTGGGAATTGTCTCAGCTAGTGGAGCACTTGTGGGTTACCAAGACAACAAATAAAAACATATCTAAACTTAAATCTTTCTAATTTAAAGTTTTGCTTATTGCTCAAATGATTCAGAGCAGATAATGTGTGTTCGGTTATTCACTGTGTGCAACAGCAATGCTGCAACACGGCACGAAGACGCTGCTGAGACCGTGGGACTAATACAAAATGCACACCCACATCAAAGAAAGGACGACGACGAGCATGCGCTTGGTCATGCTGCCCAGAAGTCTGCTATTTAGTCCTGAGGTTGAAGCTGAAGGCTCAACTCGCAATTTAGATTTTTTCACCCTGAGAATGTTTGAGGTCTGTGATGACATAGCACAAAGTGTAGATTCAAGTAGTCCAAACAGGAAACCCAGAACGAAGGCAGTGGCCAGCTTTGCGTCTTTGTGTTGAAGCAAGCTCACATTTTTGGATCTCGTCTTGTAAAAAATAAAACCAGGAAATGGAAAACGTGTCTGGGAGCCTGAAAAAGGCCCTGGTATGATCTGTTTTAATGCATTTTTAAAAGTTTTATCATATTCACGTGACAGTTTGAGACAGTTGTGGTCAAACATACACCACGATAATTTCAACCTCCATATTTCTCATGGTATTAATAACAAAAACCTATAAATAGATGTGTTTTCTGTGCTCCTACACATCACCACAGCTGGGTTACATTTCTGGTCGCACACCGTTTAGCCACGTCGAATGAAAACTCCCTTAAGCGTTCAGTCCTGTTCACACAGAAAGGTCGTCTTATCAGACAGCGTGTCAACAGAGTCACCAATCACAGCGGCACGCCGTGTCCTCCCGTTGGTTTCAGCCGTATTAAAGTCTGTCAGCAAACCTTTTGGCTTGTCATCACATCATTTTAAACTTGCATTCATAGTCCGGAGTCCAAACGAGTAACTACAGTCAGGTGAAACGTGGAGTTGGGCTTCACCTCTCCAGTCGTTTCCCTGTTATTGTTAGAGCTTTGGAGAGCTTCGACTGCTTTCTGATGAATGAGGCGATGCCAAAGAGACCATGACGGGGAAACTAAACACCGACCGAGTCTCTCCCTCTAAGTTTTCCCTTCTTTTGTCTCTGGGGAGATCTTTCTTTTCCTTTACAACGTGTGATTGTGTCTGTGCCTGTGCAAAGACAAACCGTGGATTAAAGGTGCAATTTGTAAGAATTTTACTGCGAAATTATCCCAAAACTGTCTAATGTCTCAATCACGTTGGAAGGAAAGTTATACTGAAACAGACTTCATTCTCAGCCGGCTGAGGGGTTATCAGAAAGAGGGACGTAGTTTTTGTTTACGCTTTGGGAATTTGCGGAATCTGCATGAGCTAACGCTGCATCACAGGCATTTGGAATTGACACCAGCAGGCAAAAAAGCATCAAAGTTGTTTAAAGAACCAAAGCTAAGTAATTGGGAGCGACCCAGAAGTTATTTCTTGTGTCCCAAAGAAACATCCTTTTGTTTTACTCTAATATTGGGTGAAGCAGGCTAGATGTTGAGCTAACAATGCTAACGGTGAATTAGATGCAAATAGTTGGCTATAAAATAATCTTGAGCTAATTTTCAATAACTAACAACTCAGTAATACAGTGGCATTTTACTTCCTTTAATGAGTCATCCAGAACTATAACAGCAAGATGGTAAACAACCACACTTCCTCTAATGTGTGGAAATATTACCATGATAAGTGTAATAAGCGCTTCCTACCGTAAAACACCCGAGTGTTAAATGACACTCACTTGTATAGCGTCTTTCAGAGTCAGGGGACAGCAAAGCACTTTAGTGTTAACAGCAGATATGACGATATATTTATCTAATTATCAACTAACTATGTCTGACTTGCCTTTGTCATCTAGAATCTTCTGGTCCTGAGAGCACCAGCTGGTCCCGACTTAACCCAGTCATAACCCCTACGTCTGACTTAACTAAGTCAGGACTGGAGTTAGAGCCGAGTGCACCAACTCAGACTAGGACCAGTCGCATCGTGCATGTTCACGAGGATACAAGCATTGCTGTGCGCCTTGCATAGTAACACGCCTGCCCAAGCGCAGCAAGAATGGAAGAGGAAGGCAAATTTCCACTAAACATAATCATACAAAAACTCTAGGCTAGATATTCCAACGTACTTCTGGTGTGGACCAGGTGTAATAGTTACACCTGGGTGTAGCGGCTAAAGGGCTTACACCTGAGTGGTGCACTCCTCTTAACTCATTCACTGCCATTTGCATTTTTTTTACTGTGTGGGCGTCGGACGAGCCCCCGCACAGTGAGAACAAACATCTCAGCTCTAAAGCTGATCTTCATCCGCATACGTCACATGCCACGTGATCAGGAAGCAGAACATCCGTGTGTTAGGAGATCGTTTTGGGCCGCTGCTGTAGAAAAAGTGAGGCGTGAACCGGAAAAGTTTCTGCCGATCGCAATTCAACAACGGATTATGAAAGAACAGATAATGCTCAAAACGCGCAGATTCTTCCTGATGTAAGAGGTGAGTGTCCGCTTTGTTTTGGTTGTTTTGGCATCTACATCATCCTAGCACGCAACGTTCTGTGGCTCTTAAAAAACAGTAAAAACAGTGAGAAACGCTGGCAGCGAATGAGTTAACGAGCTGGGCGTAACTTTCAAATCTACGTCCGACTTAATGTTACGCCCGGGAGTACGACCAGCTGGTGCAATCCACCCCTGCCGATACGTAACTGACAAGTCATCAAACTCAGAGAACAGCAGTGAGAAAGTAGCATTTTGTTTAAAAAATGGGCTGCAGTACCCACATTTGACCACAATATGTCACTCTTACAAACTGCACCTTTAAGCTCATCTTTAATCTCACCAAGAGAAAAGTCAGACGAGGTCACCATGTGGACGTCTACATACATTCTGTCATTTGAATCACTCTGAGCTCACTGTTGCAGGTGTGTGTCCATCCCTCATTGCTGTGATTCAGTGTTGATTTTGCCCGGACAGCAGAAACCAAAGAGCATAATCAATGAGTCTTCCCACTATGTTGAATTCAAAAAGGAATGACCCACTCTGTTTTTCTCCTCTCCTCTTCTCTGTGCTTTCTCCCAGTGGAGGGAAAATGTAAGATAGACACAAACGCTCCTGGTATACACTCACACCTGTCTATACGTCGTAGCTCCTAGTGGATTCAGCACGTTTCCTTTTAGTAGAAGTAGAGTTGTGATGCAAATAACCAAGACTACAGCTTGAAAGTCATCACTTAGAGAGAGAGAGAACGTATATACGATGCTAGTGTAAGGGTGGAAAACAACACTATGAGATTTTGCTGGTATTTAACGTTAATTAAGCAGCTCCACATAAATTCATGAGGACTGGAAGGAGAAACCACACCTCGTGGTTTTTCTTAGAGATGTTTTCACAGCATCCTAAATGAGGAAATTTGGTTCTGGCTGCAAGTTTGCTTTTAATTAATCTGAGTCATTTAGAAAAGATCTGCTAGTGTGATTTTTCACCCTTAAAATGTTTAGTAGATGCTTAGTATTCAGCAAGAGTGACTCTGGATCTGAATAATTGATCTCTAAATGCTTATTGGGTGGAGATAACTTTGTTTTTGCTCTACTTCCCTCCCCAATCTTCCCCTTTATCCCTCATTCCCTTGTTTCAAATCCCTTCTTCTCTCTCTTTAACACCCATTAAATCTACTTTTTTTACTTTTTCATCCACTATCCTACGTCTTCATACATTTTACTTTTAATTTCTCGACTCTACTTCTTGACTTCCTCCGTCCTCTTCTCTAAACACCCCCTCTGGCCTTTTATTCCTCCTTATCTCCTCCTGTTTCTCCTTTCGACCTCTCCTTCTTTTCATCTTTTCCAGTGGGAGGAGATCAGTGGGGTGGATGAGCACTACACTCCAATTAGGACCTTCCAGGTCTGCAACGTGATGGAGTATAGCCAGAACAACTGGCTCCGCACTAACTGGATACCTCGCCAATCAGCGAGGAAGATCTACGTGGAGCTGAAGTTTACCCTGAGGGACTGCAACTCCATCCCGCTGGTCCTGGGCACCTGCAAAGAGACCTTCAACCTCCTCTATCTAGAAATGGATGACGATCAGGGGAGCCACTTCAGAGAGCATCAGTTTCTCAAAATTGACACAATCGCTGCTGATGAGAGTTTTACCCAGACGGACCTTGGAGATCGCATCCTCAAACTCAACACTGAGGTGCGCGAGGTGGGCCCCTTGACCAAGAAGGGCTTCTACCTTGCATTCCAGGACGTGGGTGCTTGTGTAGCTTTAGTTTCCGTCAGGGTTTACTTTAAAAAGTGCCCGTATACTGTGAAGAATCTGGCCTCCTTTCCGGACACTGTGCCCATAGACTCCCAGTCCTTGGTGGAGGTCAAAGGTTTGTGTGTCAACCACTCCAAAGAAGAGGAACCTCCTCGAATGTTCTGCAGCACCGAGGGGGAGTGGCTCGTGCCAATTGGAAAGTGTCTGTGCAACCCGGGATACGAGGAGAGAAGCAGCACCTGCCAAAGTAAGACGTTAATTTTTCAATTATTTATGTTGTTCATCAAATTTAACATCTCACTGGGTTCGTCGTCCATTAATTCTGCATGCTGGCTACCTTTGATGCCTAATGACTTGTTTGTGTCGTGTGTTCTGGAGATGAATCAAAAGTTCTCAGAGGCTGCAAAAGTATTTGATGTGAGGACTCCAACACTCAGTGTGTGCCAGCTCTAATGTCAGACACCTGATCTCTGTGTGCGTGCGTACATGTGTGTGTGTGAGACCTTCAAGCAAACCCAACTATCCCAGGGTGTCTGCAGATGGGTTGCCCCGCTGCAGCTTTGTGACATGTTACCCATGTGGAGGTTCAGTGTGACACTTCATCAGCTTTGGGAACGGTTGGGTCTGATAAGGCAGAAGAAAGGAGTGGGTCATGAACGATGATGTTAGTGGAGACGGTTGAGGGGTGGAAACGGATTGAGATGGTTGCTTTCAGGCTCTGATCATTTTGACAGTTTCTGCATGATCGACACGTGTTTTAGAGGGATTTATGTTCAGAAAACTGCACAACTCATCCAAACTAATACAGACACATTTTGTAATTGTTACACAATCATTTTAAGAACAAAATGTAAAAAATGCTTTGGAACACATAACTCTGGAGACAAAACCACTTTAGTGTAATTTTAGGATTTAACATTTGATGCAAGTCTTTCTACTAAAGGCGTCGTCGTTGTCGTCTCGTTGTCGCCGTCTTCCTCCGCTTATCCGGGTCAGGGTCACGGGGCAGCATCCCAACTAAGGAGCTCCAGACCGTCCTCTCCCTGGCCGTCTCCACCAGCTCCTCCGGCAGGACCCCAAAGCATTCCCGGACCAGATTGGAGATGTATCCTCTCCAACGTGTCCTGGGTCGACCGGGGGGCCTCCTGCCGGCAGGACATGCCCGAAACACCTCCCCGGGGAGGCATCCTGACCAGATGCCCAAACCACCTCAACTGGCTCCTTTCGATCCGGAGGAGCAGCGGTTCTACTCCGAGTCCCTCCCGAATGTCCGAGCTCCTCACCCTATCTCTAAGGCTGAGCCCGGCCACCCTACGGAGGAAACTCATTTCGGCCGCTTGTATCCGCGATCTCGTTCTTTCGGTCATTACCCAAAGCTCATGACCATAGGTGAGGATTGGGACGTAGATCGACCGGTAAATCGAGAGCCTGGCTTTCTGGCTCAGCTCCCTCTTCACCACGACAGATCGGCTCAGCGTCCGCATCACTGCAGACGCCGAACCCATCCGCCTGTCGATCTCCCGATCCCTCCTACCCTCACTCGTGAACAAGACCCCAAGATACTTAAACTCCTCCACTTGAGGTAGGACCTCTCTCCCGACCTGGAGTTGGCAAGCCACCCTTTTCCGGTCGAGAACCATGGTATCAGATTTGGAAGTGCTGATCCTCATCCCAGCCGCTTCACACTCGGCCGCGAACCTACCCAGCAAGAGCTGAAAATCAGAGCTGGATGAAGCTAGGAGGACCACATCATCCACAAAAAGCAGAGACGAGATTCTCCTGCCACCAAACTCGACACACTCCACACCACGGCTGCGCCTAGAAATTCTGTCCATAAAAGTGATGAACAGAACCGGTGACAAAGGGCAGCCCTGGCGGAGTCCAACCCTCACTGGGAACAGGTCCGACTTACTACCGGCTATGCGGACCAAACTCACGCTCCTCTGGTAAAGGGACTGAATGGCCCTTAACAGAAAGCCACCCACCCCATACTCCTGGAGCGTCCCCCACAGGGTGCCCCTGGGGACACAGTCATAAGCCTTCTCCAAATCCACAAAACACATGTGGATTGGTTGGGCAAACTCCCATGCCCCCTCCATCACCCTTGCAAGGGTATAGAGCTGGTCCACAGTTCCACGGCCATGCCGAAAACCACATTGCTCCTCCTCTATCTGAGATTCAACTATCGATCGGACCCTCCTCTCCAGTACCATGGAGTAGACCTTTCCATGGAGGCTGAGCAGTGTGATCCCCCTATAGTTGGAACACACCCTCAGGTCACCCTTCTTAAAGATGTGGACCACCACCCCGGTCTGCCACTCCACAGGAACTGCCCCCGATGACCACGCAATGTTGCAGAGGTGTGTCAACCATGACAGCCCTATGCGTTTGGGTCTGCCAGGTCTACGCGGCATCTTCCCCTGGCATCTGACCCAACTCACCACCAGGTGGTGATCAGTTGACATCTCCGCTCCTCTCTTCACTCGGGTGTCCAAAACATACGGCCGCAGGTCAGATGATACGACCACAAAGTCTATCTTCGACCTGCAACCTAGGCTGCCCTGGTACCAAGGGTACCGATGGGCATCCTTATGTTCGAACATGGTGTTCGTTATGGCCAAACTGCGGCTCTCACAGAAGCCCAATAATGAAACACCACTCGAGTTCAGATCAGGTGGGTCGTTCCTCCCAATCACACCCCTCCAGGTCAAGCTGTCATTGCCAACGTGAGCATTGAAGTCCCCCAGCAGGACAATGGAGTCCCCTGATGGAGCACTATCTAGCACTCGTCCCAGGGACTCCAAAAAGGCCCATAAGCACAAACAACAGTCAGGACCCGTTCCCCGACCCGAAGGCGCAGGGAAGCTACCCTCTCGTCCCCCGGGGTAAACCCCAACACACAGGCAGAGAGTCTTGGGGCTAACAAAAAGCCAACCCCAGCCCTCCGCCTCTCACCCGGAGCAACTCCAGCAAAGGAGAGTGTCCAACCCCTCTCAAGGACTTTGGTTCCAGAGCCAATGGTATGTGTCGAGGTGAGTCCGACTATATCTAGCCGGTACCGCTCAACCTCTTCCACAAGCTCCTGCTCCTTCCCCGCCAGCGAGGTGACGTTCCATGTCCCAAAAGCCAGTTTTCTTGTCCGGGGTTCGGACCGCCAAGGCTCCCGCCTTGGTCTGCCACCCGATCCACATTGCACCGGACCCTACTAAAGGCTGTTTATTGAAATCATCTGCAGTGGTCTCTAGTGGGAATGAATGCCTGTTATCATCAGGGAAACAAAGCTCTGGTGCACATGTTTCAAGAACTACTGTAGAAGTGAGCCACAACACAGCTGTGCTTCAGACAGGGTCTTACTTCCTGATATGTGGACATCTCTCCTCTGATTGGCTAACAGCAACACATATAATAATAACATTTTACTTTCTTTGACATTGAATGTGCTACTACTAGTTTACCCGTTTAATGATAGATCCACTAGGATAAATACAATAAAGTTTATCTCTCACCAAATAGAATATTTACTAAGAAATCACAATGTAACCATAGAAACACTACTTGGTATATATGTTTTGTGTGTGTGTGTGTGTGTGTGTGTGTGTGTGTGTGTGTGTGTGTGTGTGTGTGTGTGTGTGTGTGTGTGTGTGTGTGTGTGTGTGTGTGTGTGTGCTCTGTCTTCTCCATCACCAGTGAGTCGTGGAGGATGGCTGCTTATACTGAGCCAGGATTCTCTGGAGGTTTCTTCCTGTTAAAAGGGAGTTTTCCTCTCCCCCCTCGCTGCATGCTTGCTTAGTATGAGGATTGCTGTAAAGCAGGGGTGAGGATCCCTAGTCCATCGAGAGCCGGTATCCAGCATATTTTAGTTTCAACTCTGCTTCAACACACCTGATTTCAACCAGCAGGTGATTAACAGGCTTCTGCAGAGCCTGATGAGCTGCTGAACAGGTGAATCAACCACTGAATCAGAAGTGTTGGAGCAACGACATGCAGGATACAGGCCCTCGAGGACCAGGGTTGCCCACGCCTGCTGTAAAGACTCTGACACTAGTCAGTGACTTGATGCAACCTGCTGGGTTCCTTATATAGGAAACTTTTTACTGATTGGCTTAATGAACTGACCTGTATTGTAGTCTTGGGCGGTATACCGGTTCATACCAAAACTAGTGTTTATTTATGTTATGATATGAATTTTTCACATACCGCTATACCGGTGAATGGCCTAGACAACGTACAGAACGTTCGTAGGAGGAAAGTGTTTCAGCGGGGACTCATTTCACTGCTACACACAAACACCACAGCGTGGTGAAACCAAGAATGGCGGCTGGCGGGAGCTGTCACGGCAACATCGAAACTTCGAATGCAGAAGAACTTATTCCAAAAACAGGAGCCACATTTGTTATTTGGAGGTTTTTCGAGTTTGTTCGGACGTGGAGCAAGCAACTATTATATGCAAATGCTCTCGAGCAACGGTGGTAGCCGGCGGGGGTAATACCAGCAACTTGCTTCATCACCTCAGCCGAAAACACGACTTGGAATACCAAAAATGTCTCAAGCTTTGATCTGCACCCTCCACCTCTAAGGCTTAAACGGCTAGTATTATTATATTAGTTATGCCTACCTCTGACTGGACATAGAAAAACTGGTATTCTGCACATGAAGGTAAAATGGACTATATAAGGCCAATCTAGTGCAGTAATTATTTTCTTATAGAAATAATCTGGGTAATCGCAACCTTGTGAAACATACCGTCAAATACCGTAAAACCGATATAATAAAAAATAAACCATGATATGAAAATTTTGCCATACCGCCCAGGTTTACTGTACTGGAATGTTTAGTGTGCAAAGTTCCTTGAGATGACTCTTGTCGTGATTTGGCGCTATATACATAAACTTGAATTGAGTTGAACTCTACCACTGACTGTTTGCTCTGCAATGTTGATGTCAGCTTTACTGATGTTTTCACTACATCTGCAGCGGTCTCTAGTAGGAATGAATGCCTTGTATGCCGTACTCTGGGAAAAAAGACTCCGGTTCACCTGTTTGAGGAGCCAAATAAACGTTGAGCTTCAGGCGGCAGCATTTGGAGTCTTATTTCCTGATATTCGAACATCTTGTCTCTGATTGGCTAACAGCAACACAACTCTGCCACTGACTCTGTTTGCTCTCCAACGTTGATGTTTCATCTCCATAAATAACACAAGCCTGGAGGTGTTCTGCTGTGTGGTGGAGTTGCTAATGCTAATGGTTA